CGTGCGAAATCGTTTCCTCGTATACACCCGCAATCCGGAGATATAGACTAAAACGTACGACACGATTTTCCATTCTGCTGCCAGCAAAGTCGATGCGTCTTGCACCGAAATTTAAACAAAAGGCAGCTACTAACAACAGCTTGCTCTCTCGGCAAGGCGGTGTGGCGCGCAAGGAGATTGGACATTGACACAATCATAGACGCAACAGACGAGTGCTACTGTATCCTATCTATGGCTGTAGCCTGTAGCCGTGCAGCGACGCAGAACATTGGCTTGCAGTACTTTGTTCTGTTGTTTCTCCCGAGAGCAGATGAGCGAAAATATCAACATGGCACCGCGTAGGAGAAAAAATAATCCTAGAAAATACAGAAGACGGAAAACACCACGAAAGAGCGTAGCTCTGACAGACGCCGAAATTAAGAAAGTGTGTGCTGCTGTCAAAGACACCGACGTGCCAGCATTAGCAGCTAACATTAGAAGCAATGTTCGAGAAGAGCTGCAACTCGGCCACGGTGATCGTGTCGTGTTTATTGATAGACTCATGATGTGCTATTGTGCGGCCGGTTATACACGCTGCCGCTGAGCAGCAGAGCTGCTGCTGATTGCGGTGGGGGGGGGCATACCAGCTGTAAATAGGTCAGAGCAAAGGTTAATAGCTTGCCGAGTGTTGCGTCGATGTCCAATCTCTCTGCGCGCCACACCGCCTTGCCGAGAGAGCAAGCTGTTGTTAGTAGCTGCCTTTTGTTTAAATTTCGGCACAAAACGCATCGACTTTGCTGGCAGCAGAATGGAAAATCGTGTCGTACGTTTTAGTCTATATCTCCGGATTGCGGGTGTATACGAGGAAACGATTTCGCACGATGCTAGGCGAATGTACTGTGTACGATTTGAGCTCAAGTTGGATGAGTTACGCGTAGTAAATCGTAGGTATTATAAGGCTAGTAAAAGACGAATTTCCCTTGCTTACTGAAGTCACACTCTTTCCCTAGCTATTATCTACTCCTGATTATATCGTCACATCCCTTAATTGTGCCATGCATACGATATACGCTTGGTGATCTGTTCTTAAATACAAGATTATACAATTTCAGGGATGACATTGGTCTTCTTGGTACTGATTGGTTGGAATCTACAAACTTGCGCTTGCAAATTCACACAACAAAACATACCTTTGGGTGCACAGAGACTGGAATATCTACACCGCTGCCCTGAAAACCCACTGGTACCTGAAACACATGAACATGCAATTTAATTTCCGAAGCATAACAATTTTCTTTAGCACACATCATCAACATCGCCATACGATCAATCATTACATGCCATATATGTCAGTCGCAATATTTTTAAAGTCATGATTCGTGTAATCGTGAGTATCTCTCATATGCATGTCAGTGTCGTGAGTGAGGCTAGTTGAACCAAACACTTACATACACAGTTGCTAGCTACAGTCACCTGGGCACAGTCGTTGTCCGAATAGTCGATGCGATACTGCACGCTGAACCTGCCTGCATGCGGAGGGGTGAAGGTTACGGGTACACTAACCGAGGATCTTGCTCCAACAATTCCATTCTCCTACAGCCAGGCAGTAGCCAGACAGATTTATTCGATTAAAATCAGGAGTGGATAAGAGGCTTTTTACATGTGTTTTTTATGCCTATTACTTACTTTAACATTAACATGCATATAATTAATCACACATACCAGGGGCACTTCCATTGTAGCACAGAACTTGTGTAAATATCTATAGGCATAACATTGTGCCAATGTGGATGTGATATGGTATCACTACACTAAACAATATCACAGTTCATTAATCCTGCCGAGGTACGGTTGACAAACAAGTGCATATATGCAGAATGCTACACAAATGACTCCCGATTATAATTGTAGCATGAGATGTAAACAACAAAAAACATCATCACTGGTTCACCTTAACCATCGTGAACACAACAGGATCGTCGTGTCCCATCGTCGGTTCATGTTGCCCCTCGTTCTCACCAGGTGTCTCTGCATGGGGTTCTTCTTGTAGACACGTGACCAACGCCTGCTTGCTTTCAACCTCACCAGATGTCTCTGCCTGTTGCTTTTCGCCGCCAGCATTTGTGCTACTTTGAATGGTTTCAGGATGGCACTGGTTCCCTTCTGACCCAACAGTGCTGCCATCTGTTGCACTGCCAGTCCGAATCATGGTGACTGAGCACTGGTCTGGTGTAGTGACTTCGCCATTGTCCGGTCTCTTGGCACCTGTTAATGAGATCAGTCTACTTATGTGTAACATTCCTTTATTTGCATTAATTATTACTTGTGTTTACAAACCATGACGTTTACACAGTCAGGTCATAAAATTCCGATGATTCAAACAATATGGATTTTGATAGCACTTAAAATTAAATAGTCGTCCCCAGGGGCGGCGCCAGGGTATTTTCTTAGGGGGGGCGAAAGCAAGGGCGTGTACAGGAGCACGCGAAGGGGGGGGGGCTCTGGGGGGCTTTCCCCCAGAAAATTTTGGAAATTAGACCCTCTCAGATGCGTTTTCTGCGCGAGCAGGGAGGGTCCGGACCCCCTGGACCCCCCCTGTACACGCCCCTGGGAACTGTAGACTCTGATACCGTGTGCGCTTGCACTGACGGGTGGGGTCCAGGGGGTAGATTACTCTCTTGTAGTTTCCCCTCCTCCCCTTACAGGTGACCTCTCTCTTGTAGTTTCCCCTCCTCCCCTTACAGGTGACCTCTCTCTTGTAGTTTCCCCTCCTCCCCTTACAGGTGGGCTCATTATGTCGTACGCATGTGCCTTAAGGTGTGCGATGCAGGCACCTCACTAGCATCGCTCATGAGAGGCTCTTATGTTTGGTATTTGTTTATACGTGACTCAACGAAGAATCAAGAGTCATCGGTCGTGCAATAGTGATCATGTGTTGCAGCAAAGGGCGTGCATGTATGCTCACGAAGATTTTAGTAGCGCACGTGATTGTATAGATGTGACAATTGGGTCGATTACGGCGTTTTAAATTACGAATCTTATTTGATTCGTTCGGATGTGATTGTGATCGGGAAGTAATGGGCAATCGTTTAATTGATTATTGACTATTGTAATTGACATATATTATTAATTGCTGGTCGATTTTGCTCTGCATCGTGACTCTGCCTTCTTGTTTTATTTCTGTGTCTCGATTAATTTATCATGTTACTACAGCAGCAGCAGCCCTGCCGTCTAGAATTTTGTCTGTTGTCGTAGTTTTTAATGCCTTTTACGTGTGACAATAGTTTTAACGTTTCAACGTGTTATGTAAACCGTTTGCAATTTTTTTAGAATGTGCCGCGTTTCACATTTACAGAGAAGTTAGACGCGCATCTATCGTAGGTCGCATACAAAATATTTTACGTAAAGAGTATGCGATACAAATGTGCAGAGTTTAAATTCCTATAAATAAATATCAGGTATTGTGGCTTTCAAATCAAATCGTTGTTTTTTATTTTTATTTGCTATATTTCCGCCATTCAAAATCAATTTAACGAGACTTGTTAGATATCTAATTTGTATGTATTAATTAAATTTTCGAAATTATGAAAACGAACATTTTTAACTGGAATACTCTCTTAATTTCTGTATCTGTTTTATACACTATTAATTGGTTGCAACTTTGATGACCTGACATCTATAGGAGAAACCAGCGATCCTATCCGAAAGAGGAGATGGAAAGGATTTCCGTTGGATTTCCCCATTGATTTCGCATGCTATCTCTCTGACATAAAGTTGTGATTGTCGGCTTCTTTCTTTGCTAAATAAGTTTATTTATCAACACATAACCTCATACCTCATAAAGGGTGACATATACACACATAATCAGGGGCGTAAATCCCGGGTGCATCCCCCCCCGCTCTTGAAGGAGGGGGGATGGCCTGTAAAAATATCCCCCACGTACGCAGGTGCTACGCTGCGTTGATGAATCGCACCTACGAGCTTTGCGTACGTACTTCGTAGAAACTCTGTGTATGCAATACACTTTGCGCAACGTTGATGAATCCGGCCCCAGGGGCCCGTCTTAGTGCCCCTGGCAGGGGTCCGGGGAAGCTCTCAGAGTTTAGCTAATCAAAGCCCTCAAATTGCTGACAAAAAAATTGTGCAGGGAACCAAGGAGCAACATATACCAAGGAGATGAAACCCCGGGGGGGGGGACTCACCCCACATTATGGTAGGTATCTGGTATGTGCCACTGCGAAGTTAAAAATGGGGGGAGGGGGCTCTAGAACTAACTCAGACCTGAAAATGGTGGTCTCTGGAACTAATGTTTGTTGAATGTGGTATGCTCTGGAACCGGCTATGTTCGAAAATGGGGGTCTCCGGAACTAGCTAGGATTTCGTTGAAATTCAATGCTATGAAACTGGACACGTTTAAAAGAGGGGGTCTCCGGAACTGTGGGGGGAACAGTGATTTGCTTTAAAATCTATGCTGTAGCACTTGAACCAATAATTGTTGTATTATGTAGAGGAGAGAAAAACATGACCCAGAGAGAGATGAACGCACGCACACGCACACGCACGCACGCACGCGCGCGCGCGCGTACGCATACACACACTAACTAAAACTAGACAGAGGGCACTCACAGAGAGAGCATACCTCCGCCAGCGACACACGAATAACCCACGACATACGCCAGCGTACAATGTATGCTCGCTCGCCGCTCAGTCAGCAGCAGCCGGCTGTGGCCGGCTCGGTCGCTGACGCGCTAATATCGATCGCGTCACACGCACGCACGCACGCACGCACGCACGCTAACGTGTACACGAACGCACAGACCCGATCACATAACCCTTCTTCTTCTTTTCCTTTTCTTTTTCTTTTTCTTTTCTTTTTCTTTTTCTTCTTCTTTCCTTTTTCTTTCAAATGATAGGGGGGCGACCGCCCCCCCCCCTGCCCCCCCTGTGGCGCCGCCCCTGGTTGTCCCTGCTTCATCGAGATGGGTCGGGACCAATGTTCCGATTAAGTGTAGTGGTCCCGATTAAGCGGTGAACACATTTCCAGTTGCACATGCATGTCTACATAATTGCAGCTTACATCTGTACACAACATGCACTGCACAAATACACGCATGTTGAGCTTTAAAAAATGTTTTGTGAGCTCATTATGTTCAGAATCCGCGGAAAAGCCGAGAAGTTGTCAGGATGCTTTTAATTTTAGGATGGTTTCACAACGTTGAGCCAAGTTTGTTCTGCAGAAACTATCCTGTTGAACAGTGGTCTCGTCTCCTTTATCCGATCAAAATAACACTCTTAAGGATGTCTTTTCAATGACATATGTTGCTTAAGCCTTAAGCGATGCACCCGATAAAGCGGGGGACCACAATACTGAATTAGATAATAGGTGATTGTTAACCATTATATCCTCCTGTATAACTAGAATATAGGTAATATGTTAAGGTGCATGGCATTTCCTTATCTAAAAAAGCTTGTACCATCAAAATCAGTAGCGCTCTCTTTGGTTGATGCAGCTTCGAGCTCCGTGACAATGAAGGGCTTGACTGTGTAAGAAGTTTGCAGTGCTCCTGTGTTTGAGATTTCCAAGCACTTGGTTAGGGCTTCTCCTACCACAGTCTCTCCAAAGTCAAGTGTTGCACTAGCAACACTGGCCTGTCAAGAAAAATGTGTAAATAACGCATTACATAACAAAGTACAAATAAACTGACAACCACGAACAATAAAAGTGTCAATGACACTGTAGCTCACCTTGGGTGTGATAGAAGAGGGAGGGGGGATATATAAAGCAAGAGTATATATGGGAGAACTCCCATTATATACTCTTGATAATGATATATATGCATGAGTTTTGATGGGAAAATAAATGTTTCAGATCTGAAAGTCTGAAATCTGGGTGAGAGATGGCGATACGCCTATAAATGATCGCCATTTTGGTTTTTGAATATCGCGCAAATAAAAACAATAAAATATTCCAATCAAATTACTGTAACGAAGAATCTAAAACACAATATTACATGTATATAGGTATGATTGTAGAGTTGTTGACCAGTTAGACGAAATAAACGTAATAGGACGTTGTCATCTCTCCCATAGGAGTATAACAACTGTTTTGGGGCTAGCCTTACACATTCACATGTATACCAAAATTTAACAAAATTGAATGAAATTAGATGGCCATTTTCATTTTTGCCAAAAAGTGGGCATGGCATGAAAGTAGGTCGACTGGCGTGCTCCAAAATAGGACGTTCAAACCTCTCCCATAGGAGTAACAACTATATATGCAATTTGAAACATGTGGGTCAAACGGTTCTTGAGTTATCGTTGACCGTAGCCAAAATGTTGACGAACGGACAGACGACACCCCATGGCAATAGCTCATCTTGACAATGTCAAGGCGAGCTAAAAATGACGTTATTTTAGACATTTTGCTTCTTCTGCCAGTGTGCAGCTCACAGTGTCTTAGTAGTAACTATAATGGTTCATTACGAGGACTTCATTACACCTACTCTCCTCACCACTGAGTGTACATTCATCAAAATCATCTGCACCTCATCTGCATGTTACACCACTTGTTCACGATCTATCAACACGTACCACAGTTAGGATGTTGGCCACAATTTGAACTGGCAGCCTTCGCAGTAAATGGTGAATACGTTAACCACTGGACCACTGCAGCATCTCACACCAGGATACGAATGTTTATATGTGCTTGGGATGTTTTATGCAACTCAGTGACAATGTAGCGTAGTATATAGAGTAACAGTAGATGTAATCTTCTTTACCTTTGCTTTCTTTATATGGCATACGACAGGAATAGAAAACAGTCCCCTTTTGCATGCCATATTTATCTGTCCATCGACATCTGCGTTCACTAGAGGCGTGTAGACCACTGTCAGCTCACAATGCAGACCTGCAGACATTTGTCCAGGGGCAGGGAACCTGCCACAAATTTTTAATTAGGTAACTGACAGATAAAATGTACACAATGCAAATTATTTAATACGTTAGGTATAACAATAGCAAGCAAAATGGCCCAAAAACAAATAACTGACCCTAGCTTTTCATTATACGTAGCATAAACATTCAAGAAAATACCTTATTTCAAGGAATTCCTGCAAGTTCTCACTAACGTTAGAAAACTTGATGAAGTCACTGCTTTGGGATACATTGGTGAGTATAGCTTTCTTTTTATAGCTTTTTCCAATTTCAAAATCCTACTCGTAAAAAAATAAAATAATTACTGCAAAGAATATAAAGGTTTCAATTAATCATGGAATTATGAATGAGTATACTCTTATACAGTCCCTACGATGCTCCTACGCTAAGATAATGAGCGGTGAAAATCTAGTATTTTTGCCGAAAACCGACTCGAGATCCCTGTTGGCTGTGACCCTCTCTCGTTTTGTGGCCAGTATGTTGCTTCCGGTTGCCGCTGTGTAGCGCCATGGTAGCGCTGACTCACGTCAGTACTACAGAGTTTACTATACATCCAGCGTGAGGTGGGAAAAGGTGGGGGTCATCACTATGGCAATCAATAACAGACGTCATTCATTCCATTTGTCAATCATTGACGGAAACACGCGAGGTTCCCCGAAGCTATCTCAAAGCGAGAGAGGGTCACAGCCAACCGGGATCTCGAGTCGGTTTTCGGCAAAAATACCAGATTTTCACCGCTCATTATCTCAGCGTAGGGGCATCGAAGGGACAAGCGGTTTGTTTTATAATAGCAAGGTAGGACAGCTGATCAATAATACTGCAAAGAATCGTCAAAATAAAATGGGCAAAGTTTCTTAATTTGACTAATACTGCAACATGGTGTCAGCATTTCACCGTTGTACGCTCTCCTTCTTAATACGCTCTTGATAACATTATGTTAATGGTAATGTTTACGTCTACATACTTTGAAATAGAGAGTGGAAGGTTTACAGGCAAATGCTCGTTCTTTGCCTGCCAATTCCAACCTGGCATCCAGTATAAGCTTCCCTGCAGGAGGAGCTTGCATTCTCGTTGAAGCCTGCAGGATATATTTTCTATTCCCATTTCATTTTAATAATTCATTTTCTATGAAAATGCATCATTACCTCACTATAATCAAGCAATATGGATTATGATTGAATGAGGTGGCAGTATTGTGGATGCATGATCTCTACTATGCATGTTGATTGAATTCCGTGTTAACACATAACTACATATCAGGAGTAGATAATAGGGAAAGAGTGTGACATCAATAAACAAGGAAAATTCGTCATTTATTAGCCTTATAATACCTACGATTTACTATGCGTAACTCATCCAACTTGAGCTCAAACCGTACACAGTACATTCACCTAGCATCGTGCGAAATCGTTTCCTCGTTTACACAAGCAATTCAGAGATACAGACTAAAACGTACGACACGATTATCCATTCTTTAGCCATCAACCCAAGTCCATTGCCCGCCTCTATTAAAACAAAAGACAGCTATACTGACGCGCTGTTGCTGTGCTTGCTCTCTCGGAATGTGGAATGTGGCGGTGTACGATTTGACCTCAAGTTGGATGAGTTACGCGTAGTAAATCGTAGGTATTATAAGGCTAGTAAATGACAAATTTCCCTTGTTTATTGATGTCACACTCCTTCCCTATTATCTACTCCTGCTACATATCTATAATCACTGCTGTATAGTGCCATCTAACGTATGCATGCTGAGGTGAGCATTAATCTTGGAGCTGATGATGTAGAAATGTGAAGAAATATAACCAACTGTGTGCATACAACACCAGCTTCTGGCTGGTTTGATCCACAAAGGTCTGGCACGACAGGCTGGACTGACATCAACATCTTGGATGGGAGTTGAAACAAATTGCCTTCTACATCATCGCCAGTAGCATCAGTAAGAAAAGAAGTGGGTTCTGCATCTGCAATGTGTCGTTTCAGACCTGGATTCAATAGAAATGCGTTGGAACAAATCTTTAGAAATACCTGAACCTGATTTACGTTTATAAAATTTACACTGAAAAGGTTAACTTGAAATTATTTCAGATATTTACAGTGAATATCGTACAGGATTTGAATTTATGTCATGATTACCATTCACCAGACTTACCTGGTATATCCACAGACAGAAGTGGATCCTCCTCATCCTCTTCACCACTTGAGGAACTAAAACCCTTAGAAGACCAGCAGGCTTGAAATTTATCAGCATCATCAGCAGCAGCATCATAGTCCTTGCTGAGCCTGTTCAGTTTTTGTAGTTGCCTTTGTTTCAACTTCAGTGGTTTCTACCATATAATTGAGACATTTAAATCTACAATATTTTTGTGCCTTATCTATAAGGTAGTTGAATGAGAGTGAATTGAACTAAAATTGCATGTAATGTGGAAGGTACAGAATCAAGAAATGTGCAGATATTGTATTCCTCATAGTCATATATATATACCAATTTGTTCAAGTTCGGTTTATTTTGTGATGCACTCCAGAGGTAGGGTTGTTGTTTCTGCCTTCGTTGTATCTCCTTTTCTTCTTCTAGTATCTTTGCAGATACGTATTGCTGCTTTCGTTTCTGATCCTTTTCAAATATACTGAAATCACATTAAAAAATTGTAAAGATATTTACACCACTTCTGACAATCTGATGTTCACTAAAAAGAAAAAATATATATCATTATATAGTCATACAAAATAGGTCTAGCTACATGTTTACCGTTTTTCCTTTTCCAGGTCATGCAGCTTTTTCTGTAGAACCAATTCTGGACTATCTGTACACTCTGGAATTGCTTTACTAAGTGGCTTCAGTAAATGAGTTGCTTTTTGCTGAAAGTATAATTATAGTAGTAGTACATTTAACAAGTACATGCATATCATTATAGGCTATTGTGTTAAGTCTGATCTTATATATATAATAAACAACATGTAATTTTACTAGATATAGGTTATCAATTAATTCGTACCTGCATGGGGATGATTGACCCAAAATTTCGTCCACATCGGCTTACAACAGGTAACTATAATCTTTATCAGCCACAATATCCCACAGAGTAGGTATATATTGTGGCTGATAAAGATTAGTTTTCAAAGTCCAAGGGACTATGATTATTTTAAGTTTTGCATGGAGAAACCAGAGAGAGACGAAGAGGAGGGCATTCAACTTGAGTCAAAACAACCTCAGATTTAGCTCTAGTACTATAGCCGCTTACATTAACTGCCGCTGGGCTATAATGTAAGCGGCTATAGTACTAGAGCTACCTCAGATTCAGACCTATCATGAGTTTTTGGACACCCATCTCGCAGCTTTATGTTGAATGGCATTAAACAGTGCAATTCTCAAAGTCCAAAGCAGGAGTCGAACAAAGAGACGAGCGAGACAAAGTTGAGCAAATACAAGAGATTGCCCTGCTGTAATAATACATACCTTGCCGGCTTCAATGTTTTTCTTCAGAGACAGAATCGCCTGAATCCTACTTTCTGTATTATTTTCCATTGCGTGGGTTTTGTCGGTCGTCTGTTGCTACGAGTTAGAGATGAAGTTGAGAAATGAGGTTTTAATTTTGAACCTTTGCTTTAACCCGACCAGGCTGTGTGACTATAACGTCAATATACATAGTATCTATTGCGATATACACAGGTATTCTAACCCTAGCTCCAAGAAACGGTATTGCTAGGGTTAGAATACATCGTACATGGTGTATTGACGTTAGTCACACAGCGTGGTCGGGTCATTCTAACCCTAGCAATACCGTTTCTTGGAGCTACCTTTGCTTTAGCGATAATTAGACTTATTATTGCTTTAGTCAAGTTATAGTGCCAAGAACGAATGATTCGTTAACCAGCATGTTGTTCGCTCGCTGCGTCCGTAGCAACGGATAAAATGTCACTGAGATTGAACCCTGACTTCGACCATTACCGAAATTTCACGCAACCAACGGGATTATCCACGATAAGTGCATATATCGCTTGGAAATCACAAGATAACTGAAATAAGTGATAACATCTGAAACTCCAGCAATCACGAAGCATCCTCGTGACGTACACTGACGTCACGCACGAACTCGGCTATATCTCCGAAGTTGAATGGTGATGGTGCTGGTGGTTAACTTGCGCATGGTCATATTCCATACTTATAGGGCCATTTTCAGGTCTGAGTTATAGTTCCAGAGCCCCCCCCCCCATTTTTGACTTCGCAGTGGCACATACCTACCATAATGGGGGGTGAGTGCCCCCCCGGGGGTTTCATCTCCTTGGTTCCCTGCACAATTTTTTTTTCAAAATAGTGCCACGGCAGTGCCGTGCTGCCGTGGCGGCCCGGGCCCCCCACTCCGAGGTCGGAGGGACCGCATGCGCGTTCCCAAAATCTCCGGTAAAGGGGTATTTTTTGCGCGACAAAATCCGGCCCCAGAATTGTAAAAAAGGGGGTGTATTTGACTTTTCACCCGGATATTTCTTTAAAAAGGGGGTGTTTTTCTCTCTCTTTCATCTTGAATATCATAGAAAACTTTATCAAATCCCGGGATCAAATTCCTGAAATTCCTGCTAGTTTTGAAAGCTCATTCAGGATTATTTCATTTTGAAAAGTAAAAATATTGCCCCCTAGTTCCCGATTAGGAGCAGTGTTCCGGATTTAGAGGGGTCTCCAAGGCAGGAAAACCCCGCAAAAAGCCCGCGAAAGGAGGGTTCAGAAATTTTGGCAGTCCTGAGATAGGGGGGCCGGTGCTTTCAAAGAGAGGGAACGAGCATATGCCTACCCTAAATAACACTGAGTGGGGGGCCCGGGCGTGGCGGCCACTACGGCCCTGATGGGGGTCTCTGGAACTAATGTTTGTTGAATGTGGTATGCTCTGGAACCGGCTATGTTCGAAAATGGCCGGGGGTCTCCGGAACTAGGATTTCTTTGAAATTCAATGCTATGAAACTAGACACGTTTAAAAGAGGGGGTCTCCGGAACTGTGGGGGAACAGTGATTTGCTTTAAAATCTATGCTTTAGCACTTGAACCAATAATTGTTGTATTATGTAGAGGAGAGAAAAACATGACCCGGAGAGAGATGAACGCACGCACACGCACCCACACACACACACACACGCACGCACGCACGCACACACACACACAAACACACACAACACACACACGTTGCATGCATGCCTTCACGGCCCGGCTTCAACGTATTCTGAAGTACGATGCACTGGAACGAAAATATTAAAAACTATATCATTTTTCATAATTATGTACTGATAGTAGGCCCCTATATACAATTTTGTAAACAATGTTTTATTATAGTTATCATACTCATAATAATATATTTTAGATACTTTAGTCAAAACATCAGCTTTAGCTACATTCCTCTTTGAAATTTACAAATTGACCTTTTAAAATGATCAGAATTGGCTGCTTTCAACATAGCCTGAAAATGCAGGAAATGCCATTTCCAGGCTCTAAATTTCCAATAAATTCAGGGGGACCCAGAATACCTCCAGGGGCGCGTTTCACAAAGCTCCGTTCGCTATATTCTCCGCTATCTCCTCCGCTAACTCCCGAGTTGTCCGCTAAATAGCGGAGGACGCGTTTCACGAACCTCCGTTCGCTAAAGTCGCTCGCTTTTTAACGCACTTTAGCGGACAACTTTAGCGGGAGCTCCTGCAAGCGCTCTAGGTAAAATCTTAAGTTTGCCCCCCCCCACCCCGTGTCTCCATATTTTACATTCATCATATATAACGAAATTATACTTTTAATATTATTATTAATTTTGATGAACTTATTACAAGATGAACAGCAATATGTTGTTGCGAGTTATACGCGTACGCTCGTTTGATGAAAAGCAAGGTTGAAAATTCCCAGCTTATCCATGCACGGTTGTCTGATGTGTTTGTATGTGTGATCGTGTGTGTCTGTGCGAGTATAACAACTATTATATGTTTATTATATGTTATATTTTTTATTATTTTACATTCATTATATTGCAATTATAATTAGATCTTTTCAATTTGCTTTTAATGAAGGAACACGCTGACACGGAGATATTCCATTGCTGAACCGATCTCTACCGCAAATCACAAAAAGATAAGTGCTACCTACTTATAATTCACAATATATTGCATTGCATAATCTTCTTCCTTTATGCTTGGAAAAACGATAACACTTGCCAATCAATGTCAATTCAATTCAATAACGCATTTAGCAACTGTTTGTTTGTGTGTTCATGTGCGTGTGCGTGTGCATGTGCGTGTGCAAGTGCATGTGCGTGTGCATGTGTGTGGCGTATATGAGTGCGAGTAGAGAGTGTGAGTCTCTCTCGCTCGCTCTCTCTCTGTCTCTGTCTCTGTCTCTGTCTCTGTCTTTGTCTCTGTCTGCTTTGCTCTGTCTCTGTCTGCTGTCTGTCTCTGTCTCTGTCTCCTGCCTGCTGTCTTGCTGTGTGCGTGCGGCGTGGCGTGCGCGTGCGTGCGTGCGTGCGTGCGTGTGTGCGTGTCTCTGTCTGCTCTCTCACGTCTCTCTCCTCTCTCCTCTCTTCTGCTCTCTCTCTCTCTCTGCTCTTCTTCCCCTCTCTCTCTCTCTCTCTCTCTCTCTCTCTCTTCTCTCTCTCTCTCTCTCTCTGCTCTCTCTCTACTTCTCTCTCTCTCTCTTTCTCTCCGTCTCCCCCTCCACCTCTCTCTCTCTTCTCTCTCCCCTCTCTCTCTCTCTCTCTTCCTCTCTCTGCTCTCTCTCTCTCTCTTCTATCTATCTATCTATATCTATCTCTCTCTCCGTTCCCACCCTCTCTCTCTCTCCCCTCTCTCTTTTCTCTCTATGCTTTCTCTCTCTCTCTCTCTCTCTCTCTCTCTCTCTTTCTTTCCTCTTCTTCTCTCTCTCTCTCTCTCTCCGTCTCCCCCCCTTCTCTCTTTATTCCGACCTCACTCTTTGCTCTCTCTCTCTTTCTCTCTGCTTTTTCTCTTCTCTCTCTCTTCTTTCTCTCTCTCTCTCTCTCTCTCATCTCTTCTCTCTGCTCTATCTATCTATCTATATATGATCTTGCTCTCTTTCTCTCTCTCTCTTTCTTTCTCATCTCTCACTCGTCTCCCTCATTCTCTCTCTCTCTCTCTCTCTCCCCACCCCCCCCACCCCCCCCCAGCCCCCCCCCCCCACCCCACCCCCCCCTCCCCCCCCCCCCGCCCCCCCCCCCCCGCCCCCCCCCCCCCCCGCCGACCCCCCCCCACCCCGCCCCCCCCCCCCCCGACCCCCCTCTCTTACTTCTCTCTCTGCTCTCTCTCTCTCTCTTCTGCTGCTCTCTCTGCTCTCTCTCTTTCTCTCTCTCTCTCTCTCACCGTCTCCCCCCCTCTCTCTCTTTTCCCTCTCACTCTTTCTTCTCTTTTTTTTCTCTCTCCTTTTCTCTCTATGCTTTTCTCTCTTCTCTCCTCTTATCACTCGTCTCTCTCATCTCTCTCTATCTCTCTCTCTCTCTCTCTCTATCTTCTACTATACTCTCTCTCTGCTCTCTCTCTCTCTCTCTCTCCTCTCTCTCTCTCTCTCTCTCTCTTCTCTCTATCTATCTATCTAATCATATATATGCGATCTTCTCTCTTCTCTCTTGCGCTCTCTCTCTCTCTCAATCATCTCTCTCCATCTGCCCCTTTTCCTCTCCCCCCGCCCCTCTCTTACTCTGCTCTCTCTCTAACTCTCTCTCTCTGCCTCTCTCTCATCTCTCTCTCTCTGCTCACTCTGTCTCTCTCTCTCTTTCTCTCTCTCTGCTCTCTCTCTCTCTCTCCTCATCTCTCTGCTCTGTCCTGCTCTCTTTCTATCTCTCTCTCTCTCTCTCCTTCTCTCTCTCGCCTTTCTTGCCTCTCTCTCTGTCCCACTCTCACTCTCCAACCCCTCCTCTCTCTCTCATCTCTCTCTCTCTCTCTGTCGCTTATCCGCATGCATACGTGAGGACTGTGCGTGCTGTGTGACTGCATGTGTAGGAGGCGGTGACGAAGTACGTGTGTGGATGCAAAGTGTGTGTGATTGCATGTGACGAGCGTGGCGCGTACGTGTTTTGTGTGGTGCAAGCCGTGTGTGATTGCATGTGTAGGAGCCGTGCGCAGTACGTGTGTGGTGCAAGGCGTGTGTGATTGCATGTGTAGGAGCGTGCGCGTAACCGTGTGTGGGATGCAAGCGTGTTGTGATTGCATGTGTAGGAGCGTGACCGTACGTGTGTGGGTGCAAGCGTGTGTGATTCACTGTGTAGGAGCGTGCGCAGGTAACGTGTGTGGTGCAAGCGTGTGGATTGCATGTGTAGGAGCGTGCGCGTCACGTGTGTGGGTGGCAAGCGTGTGTGATTGCATGTGTAGGAAGCGTGCGGCGTAACGTGTTGTGTGTGCAAGCGCTGTGTGACGCATGTGTAGGAGGGGCGTGGCGCGTACGTGTGGGATGCAACGTGTGTGATTGCATGTGTAGGAGGCGTGCGCGTACGTGTGTGTGTGCACAGTACGATTATCTACATGGGGCAAAGGGGGCAGTTTGGCCCCCGGCCCTACAAGTCGACCGGCCCTAAGTGTTGTGAATACAAAAAAAATATGACTGTTTATTATTTTATTCCAAAGTATATCTTGGGCCGGCCCTACCACTTTCATATGACTACAATTTGTTTTTGCTTTTCTAACTTGTTTTTCAATTTCTTCCGTGTTTTGTGGTGTACATTGCAGCAGCTAAGGAATATATTACACTTCAGGTAGCTAGTGGGGTTAAAACACCAAATTTTTCAAAAAATATGATTAAAATTTTTTTTTAACATCTAACTAATTCTTTTAGAACGTTTTCCTTTCATTTTTGCAATCATTAATTGGGCTTATAATTATCCCACTAAACAGGTCTAAAACATTATATGTTTATGGGAAGGGGGCCGGTGATGGGCCCGAAATATA